TCCCCTCAGCAGTGTATTTCAGTACATCCCCTGCTCTGCTCCCGGCTCTGTCTCTGGTGAGTCCTCTCCCCCCACACCTTTGGCCTGTTGGGGGTCTTGTTCTTGGATGCATAAATAAATAAATCTTAAAAAAAAAAGAATAGAAAGAAACATTCCAAGGGTGGGTTAACTGGGAAGTCTGAATTTTTTTTTTTTAAAGATTTATTTATTTATTTATTTATTTTTTTGTTTGTTTATACATGCACTGGGTACAGTCAGAAGCGCGGGAGGGTGAGAGAATTCACCAGAGCCAGAGCGGGGAGCAGAGCAGGCAGAAGGACCGAAGGACACTGCTGAGGGGAGCAGCGGGCGGCAGGAGAGGTCTGCGCGCCATGCGGGACCCTCCTCGGTGGCCGGGGAGCAGCCGGGGATCGAACCGGCACTGCAGAGGATGCGGGCAGCTTCGCAACCCAGCGCTCAATCGCTGCACCACCGGGGAGGCCTGGAAGTCTGAATCTTAATTGGACCGGTTCAAGCACCCGTCCTCAAACCCAGACAAGATGAAAGTCCACAGCAGTGCTCTGGAGAGAAGAGCACAGTGGGGGAGAGGAAAGGCTCCTGCAGGGAGCATGAGGGCCAGTCAGGGCCAGGCGAAAGGAGCCGAACTTGACCGACTGTGCTAGACTGTTCACTGCTGCCATCTTTGTCGTCCCCACCACACTGCCATGGGATTATTATAGTTCTCACTTGGGGGGCAGGGAAGCTCGAGCTCAGGGGCAGCAGGTAACCCTCTCCCGGTCATAGAGTGACCCCAAAATAGGAACTCAGAAGTACCTGACTCCAAAAGGTGTGCAATTCTTAATAATCCAAGCTGTTATTCCAGGGAGTACCAATTTATTTGTCAAATCTTCATTCAACGCATCTGCTTTTAAAACCAAGAAAATCTCCAATTTTGAAATTAAGCAACTCGTTTTTCAATAACAAAATTAGAAAATATTTTTAACTGAATGATAATGAAAAGACATATTAAAACTTAGGCACTGGAGCACTCAGAGAAAACTTTATTGAAGCAAATGTATGTGTTAGAAAAGAAAAAAACTGACAAAAAATCCATGGTTTAAGCTTCCATTGCAGTCAGATGAATAAAGAAACCCCAAGGAACTAGGATGAATTTCTATACCTCTGCTGATACAGAGAAGATTAAAATCCAATGTAAAAATCTGAAGATGGGTTTCTTTCAATGAGTGGAAAATGCTGACAGTCCCCAAACTAGACTGATCAAGAAAGAAGGGAGAAGCTTCACCTGCAGGGTCAGGCACACACACGCACTGCCAAGCAGAACATGCGCCCTGCGGAATGGAGGAGGAAACGTACGTTTTCAAGTCATTCAGAAAAATCACATTCCAGATTTTATTGTATTTGACCTCACAGGCGCTTACTGGTGGAAAACAAAAGGCACGTTAAGTTTTGTGGTTTAGTCCTCAAACAGAGAGCACATGTGCTTTGGAGTCCCGCAGACCCGAGTTCAAAATCATCCTCTACCTTGAACTAAAGTACGACATTAGGCTAATGATAGAATCTCTCTGCACTTCCATTTTCTCATGTAACACATGGAGGATAATAACATCAGCCTCACTGTGCAGAGCACCAAGCACTGGGAAGCTCACACACGACTTTTCCCACATGACCATGATCGTGGCATTTATAGTCTGACTATCAATAGATCCTAAAGGTTCAAAATGGACCCTGACACAAGGCCGTTCATGTGGAATGTGACACTTTCTGGAAAGCTTGGGTGTTTGTCTTCCTTGACTTGACAGCACCAATATGCACCATACTGAAAAATGTGCTCATTTTTATAAAGGAGGCTGCCCACAGATACCCAACGTAAACCCTCCATAAGAGTTAAAATGAAATAATTCAGGATAACATTTTCTTTTTAATATTATTCAATGATTTCTCTTGAACATTACGACATCAGACATCAGAACAAAAGCTATGTTAAGACTGGAGAGAAAGGTCTTTTCCAGTGTTGAAATGACAGGGGCTCCCCTCAAATCCTCAGCTCCCCACCAGTGTGGCTCCCGAGTCAGGCAGGTTGATGGACAGCAAGAGTGCAACGATTAATCCGATCACGCCACTGCCCCATAATACAGATTTGCTTTGTGAAACCCCACGATTTTTCAGACATTCAAGAAATGTCTCCCTGTGACAGGAAAACAAAAATGGAGATCAAGAGGCAGCTCAGGAAAGGGTCTGGTTAATTTGCCAATGAAAAAACCCCTTCATTAGTAACTAAAGAACCCATGGGCCCCGCAGCACCCACCCCATCTCCTGACAACACAGAGAAGGGCCAAGTCAGGAGTGAGAAATAAAATGAGAAGTAAACACTTTGAAGGGAGTTTGATGACAAACTCCCTTTGTGCGAGGATAAAAATGACCTCCTGGCTCTCACACGTCGTCACAGCTCCCGGCTTGAACGCCAACTGATGAGCAAGGACAGCAAAAGCAGCACCCTGAGATGAGGAGCCCAAGTTATCTGTTGATGACCTGCTCTCTTCTCCTCAGGAGCTTCTTGAGAGAATGGAGCCAAAGCCTGAGAAGGGGCAGTGTTTCCAGACTTGGAGAAGGCAGGAGCAGGAGGACCTCACCTCCTCTGCACAGAGCAGCCCCAGGGGGATCTAGCTGGTGAGTGACTCTCATTTCCATAAAAACAAGAAAACAAAGCACCAGGGCCAGAGGGAGGGGCTGGCAAGTGGAGGAGGTTAGAGGGGGAGCAAGGGGGTTCCATGAGACACAGGGCAAGCTAGGGTTATTAGGCAGTTTCAGGGACAGTGCAGGAAGGTGACCTCTGAAGAATTTAGGGAGGCTTCAGAGATAAGGACAACCAAGGGAATGTAACCAATTCCACCTGGAAAAACAAACATCCTGGGACCAAGGACAACATTGTTAACTCTGCCCTGCCTTCCTTCAGGTGGTAGGGAGGCAGAGATGGAGAAATAGAGACTGGTTTAATTTATGGACAACTTAAAAGGGCAGCTGTTTAACTTCAAAGCAGGGATGCCCATCCAGAGGACTGGGCCATAAAGATAAAGATGTAACAAATGGGGAATGGGAAACCTGTTAGATAAGGAATGTGAAGATCCCCCATCAGCAGCAAATTAGGTGAGACGCCGAGAACTAACCAATCACAAAGAGACTGGTGGAGCTTTAGAATAAGAGGGGAAAGAAGGTCTGTATTCCCTGAGACAGGACTCCACTTTGGCTTCCTTGCCCTCCAGGCCTGGTTCCCTGCCTGGGAGTCCCACTTTATTTCTGCTCTTTTCTCCTCAATAAACTTTTTTCTTCTCTAAACAAACCTGCCTCTTCTCGCTTGCTTGCCTGAGCGTCTGCGAAGTTCCTGCTGCGGCTTCGTGAGACACCACCCGTGGGGGTCTAGCAGCTGGGGCTCATCATTGCCCCTGCAGCCTGGGATCTGTTCCTGGCTGGGAGACTAGGCTGACAATTCCGGTATCAATCACATGAGATCCAGGCTGATTGAGCTAAAGGCAGAGAAGGAGCCTTAGAACAGCGACCAGCACCCACGGGCTTCTGAACACTAGGGTCTGTCTCTAGCCCATTCCAAGGCCAATGGCACAGAGGCTTGAAGCGTGGATCCCCCGTCCTCACAGTGTGGTGGCCGGGGTCCCCCAGAGAATAGACTCAGGGAAAGAGGGGGAAAAGCATCCACACAACAGGGAGGGCTCAGTTCCCTGCTCCCCCAGAGAAGGGCGGAGCCCAGCAAGAGGAGCAGCTGGAGAGCCTGGGAGAGGGAGGAGCCATCAGGAGGGAGAACTGGAGGAGGCATGTGGAGCAGAGACACAGGCCAAAAAGCCGCCCTACTTCTCAGCCTTGGACCAGACCAGGGACTTGGGGGACAGGGAAGGAGACACTTGAAGCGCCAAGACGTGGGACAGACCCGTGGGGAGGTTGACCATGGCAGCCTTTTCTTGACTTGGCTTTTGGATTTTGCTCCTTTTCTTCCAGACCTGCCAGCCCCTTCTGCCCCTTCCTATGGGCCCCACCAGGAGAGCCATAGGCTGGGGGCCGGCTCTCTGGCCTCATCGCCTGCTTGGGCCAACCCTGTCTGGCTGGGCTTTTACCCTGGGGGGGACGGGTATCTGCGGGGGCTGGTTTGGAAACTCTATTCTCTCCCTCCTTTTGTTGCCACTAATTGTTTCCAAGTTCCTTTCCATGACAGGTCTTCTGCATGTTTTGTCTTGATAGGGCAGATGGCAGAGCCTATTGAAAGCAGGCAGGTTTGGAGATTCTGGGTTCCCGACCCTGCCCGGAAAAGGGTGACGGGACAGATAGGGAAGAATGAGCAGGTGGTCGAGGGTGGCCTCGGGTGGCAGGGAACCCTCCTGGGGTAGTTAGAAGGGCAGCGGGGGAGGGGAAGGAGATCAGGATAGGTCATCCCCATCACCACCAGGGCCATGAGGGACTCATGAGACCTCCTGACACAGAGGAGGCAGAGAGAAAATGCCTACAAATACCAAGATGCCATTCCTGCCTCAAGACAAAAATCAATTACCTCTCCGTATCCTCACAAGTAAATGCAATGTCTCGTCTTAAATCTGATTTCAGTCGTTGTACGGAGCCTGAGCAGGAGTCCCTGGAAAGAAAGAGGCAAGGGTTAAAATGACAAGATCTCACGGACATTTCTTGAATCTCTTAGTTTCTTCTGAGGAGCAGGCAGGCCCTGGGCCCGCCTCTGGGCAAAGAGTGGAACAGAGGAAGCTTCTAAGAGCTCCCAGCTGTAGGGGAGCGAACGTGGGAACTAGGTGGGTGTCTATTATGGAGACTAAGGTAAGAGAGAGTGGTTGGGCTGGGTTGAGGGGAGAGTGACTCCCCATCCATCCTGCCCCAGTCTGTTCCCAGGACATTCTTGTGACTAGGGATTCTTTCATGGCTCAGTTCCTGAAATCGCCCTGAGAATACAGGAGTAAAAAGGAGCAACAGATACCTGGCTTCGCTTCATGGATCACGCAGGCATGTAGTGCTGTAACCGCTGAAGGCAAATTAGGGACTTCCACACTTGCAAAAACACTGAGATGAAAGAGACAAAAACCATTAGCCCCAAACCACAAACTGAACCAGGTTCCTAGTGCCTGTCAAAGCCAGCAGGCAGGAGGCCACTGGTTAGAAGCTACTCTCTGACACTGACCCATAATTTGCATGGAAACACCCAGTGTACTCATTCAGTTCAACCCTCTGAACAAAGTTCTCAAAACAAGAGGTAATATCTGCACATCAATAGGGATTTTTTGCATTTTGTTTGTTTGTTTTTATTTTTTTTTGAAGATTTATTCATTTATTTATCCAAGAACCAGGGTACAGGCCAGACGGGGGAGGGTGAGAGGATTCACCAGAGACAGAGTGGGGAACAGAACAGGCACACTAACGAAATACACTGCTGAGGGGAGCCGTGGGCCCAAAGGAGAGTTCTGCTGCTGTGCCATGTGGGACCTCGCCAGCCTGCCTGGATGCAACCCTGTGGCAGAGGCTGCCTGCAGACAGCTTCCAGCGCTGCACTCAACTGCTTGCGCCACCAGGGGAGGCCCTCTTTGCATTTTCTTATTCCAAAAGGTGTCCTTAGGCCACATTTGAGCTTTCCCTGCTGAGTCAGAACCTACTGCTGCAAAGCCCCTGGGGTGCACAGTCGAGCCCCCGGGGTGCACAGAGGGAGCTTGAGAAGCACTGCTTTGAAAAACGCTGATGTCCTGCTCTAACCCCAGTCCCCAACTCTTCCCCATGAGTCTGACAATTGTCATTTCTTGTGCAAATACTGGACCCCCAATATCAGATATAGAATTGGGGAATGTTAATGTTTTCACCCCAAGTCCACAAAGTTGGGGTCAGAAAAATATATAAATGCCAATGCTTCTTTGTGGGGTTAGACGTAACAGGAAAGAAGGAAAATAAATTTGGGCCACCAGAGTGCCCCGAAGATGGAGAACACAGACTGACAAAGGTCCCTGAGGTGGAAGCAGATGTAAATACAGGGGCAGTGGGAGACAGAGTCCAGATGGGGTAGATTCCGGGATGAATTCAACGAGAATAAGCGCTGATATTCCTCGGTCTTTTCCTCTGCTGTGGGCAAAGATGCTGGATATTGTTCGTGCATCACCTCAGATGATATTCAAATCACCATCACACCCGGCTCCTAGTCCAGGGGCTGCAGAGGTCAGGTGCCCTGCTGGGGTCACATGGCGACCACGATGACCTCTGGAGTCCACCCCTGGACCCTCACAACACACTGTGACAACACCAGCCCTGAGCGATAAAGCCCTGCAGCAGCCACCGCGCGTGACATGCTCCACTGTCATTTCACAGCTGGGTGAGAGCCTCACGCTGTGCATGGAGCAGAGAGGAGTCAGATCAGATCTGCAGGATGGAGAATTTAGAGAAGGTGCAGTGTGGGGGCAGGTGTTCCGGGTAAAAGTGTGAACAAAGATGGGGAATGGACAAGATGGAAGGTCATGAGAGACATTGAAAAGATCCAAAGGGTCAGGAGGAGGAGGGACACACAGAAAGGACCACTTCAGGGCTGATGCAAATGAGCAATTGGACAGAAGTACCAACAAGGAAAGCAAAGGTCTCCATAGAGACACAACTTTTACCCTTTGAGTCCAAATTTCCCACTCACTTTAAACACAAAAATCATACCCTCTTGAGACAAATTTTCCCATAGGTGGTTATGCTGACCACAGAAACAGAAATCATGTACCTGGATACATTGTAGGCGACAGACTGTTGTTGGACCCATTGAGTAACACAGGACCTTTCCACAGGCATTTTTTGCAAACTGAAAAACAAAAGAGAACCTCACCATCCCTCAGCATGCAAACGTCAGCACCATCCCCAGCGCTTCCACCAAAACAGCTCTCAGCTCAGGTGGTGAAAGATGAAATATCCCGCGTGGGTCTAGCTCAGTGAAGTCAGGTCTGTGAGTGTCGAGCCCAGACATTGCAGGAATTTCGCGTCACATGGGGATTCTGGAAGGAGTGGCTCCAGTTTGTGTCTGAACAATGAAGGTCAATGTCATTGGTCCTTGGGAGCTAAATTAGGGTCCAGAAGCTGGAAGTGTAGACACTGAGGGGGGAACTCACTGGGGAAGGAAGAGAACACTTCCTGGGACCTGCAGTGCAGACACTGCGCATTCATTAGTGGGAGTTCAGCGGTGGGGGAATTGGGGGAGCCAAGAGGAGGGAGGTAGAGAGAAGGTGACACTGAGCCCTGGACAGGCCCAAAGAGAAATGCATGGGAAGCTTGAGAGTTGTGACTCCCTGCTGGCCATGATGGGGCGGGGTGGGGGGCAGCACATGGCAGAGGGGCAACCAGGAAACTCTGTCACAGGAGCAGAGGGAGGAAAAGGAAGGAACCAGGAGCCAGAAGGGCAGTTCCCTGTGAGGGAGATGAGGAAGGGCAGGAAGAGGTCATGGAGGGCAACAAAGAGCAAGACCCGAAGGATGAACAGGATGTCGCCGAGTCACGGAGGCAGCTGCCAACAGAAAGCTCAGGGGGCTTGAGAGAATAGGGGCGATTTGGGGGACCCCTCAGTGGATGCTGAAGTGAAGTAGATAAGTCAGTTCATGGAATTCAGGTTCCTGAATGTTTAGTCACGGACTTCGCCTTTATCCTGCAAGTGGTAAATCACCGTAGAGAGAAATTGAAACGGATTATGAAACCCCAGCGTGTCTCTTCCCTCCGGGTGTGAGGCGCAGAGGCCAGGGGGGATCTGCTGAAAGAAGGTCATGGAAACACATCCCTGAGATCTGGGCCAAGATAAAGTGCAGTCCCAGGGGATCTCTCCATGGCAGAGTCACTGGGTAAGTCACCAAATGGATTTCAGGCCCTAGAACATTCTGTCTGTGTGTGTCTATAGAAACCTGCCTCTCCCTGAGGTTTACTTTTTAGACAGCAGAGCCTAGAGGCTTATGGAATGACATGGAGCTGAGCGCCAGGCCAGCCCGAGAACACAGGTGCAGATGCAGAGGAGGGGCTGCCCAGAGGCCAGGGGCCCCCACAGAAATGCATACACCACTGTCTGAAGGAAAGTCCCTTGATGCATGAACTGCCTTGGAATTAGCCATTTGTAAGGGAACTTCAGTCAAGTCCACATTTCTTTGCCTCTAAGATGCTTTTCAGCCAATAAAACTTCGCTCCTTTGCCCTCAACCCAGTCTCCAAAGCCTCTATAATTTCATCCCCTTTCTAACTGGGGGGGCAGCTTTGAGCTGATCTCCTGTCTCCTTACCAATTCATCCTCCATAAAGATATTTCCTTTACTCAAATTCCTGGTGTCGTAATAACCTGGTCTCCGCACATCAGGCATGTGGTGGTGTCATTCCCAGCAAGCAAGTGGGCTGGAGGTGGGTGGGGGCGCTGGGCTGGGGAGCTTGAATGAATAAAGGAGCAGACGGGCTGCCCAAAAAACTGATCCCTCGTACATGATCCAGGTCATGAGTCAGGTCACACCCAAGCCAGCACCCTGCCAGTCAGTGATGCCTAGAGTCTGAACAGGCCCGAGACCCTCCCTACACAGCGGACCAAGGCTTCTGTCTCACCTGCTGCTTCCCTTAACTCTTTGGTTCAATAAAGCTGCCTTTTCTAGTCCCTGCTCTGTCTCAGAATTTTTTCACCACTGTGTCCCCCAACCTACACCCCAATTCCCTTCAGAAATAGGGCGGGAAGCTGGTTGCTTGGTAGCAGTAGAGTGTCCTTGGTCACCTTTACCGTGTTTTCTGCTCCAAGGCTAACATTTCACTTACCTGTACTTTTAGCAGATATTTTATTTACCTGCACCTCCAAGCTGTCACCTGTAAAACACACGTGATGTGCATGGAACCTACTTCGTGGGGTTCTTGTGAGAATGAAAGATTTGAATCCATGGAACAGCCATGGAATGTGCCTGGCAGGGAAGTGGTCTGTAAACGTGGACTCTTAGGATTGTTCAGAATCCACATTGGCCAACACCTGGATCAGATGATTAAAACAGCCTGAGTGTCCTGGGAGCCAAAGTCAAAGAATGGATGGAGGAGCCCGGGGATTCTCTTCAACTGGGGGCCTGGAACCTCCCAAGAAACCCAGAGCTATATGTGAAAATCTTCTGGCATGAGCTTATGAAAGTCTTTCTCAGGAAAGGTTGAATCCTACATAGTTTTTCCTAAAAGGCCCTGTGATCCCAAAAGAAAGAAAACCAACCATTGACCTTTAAGTTCTTGGGTCTCCAGAATTCTAGAATTTCACTGCTGGTGCTTACCCATTTGGCCGCCACTTCCCAGAATACACGTGTAGGACACGGTGGCAGATTCCATTCTTTTCTTCATAAGGGCCATACTTCACTTCTAAAAGACACAGTTTTCAGAAAGTAATTGAAATGGAAAAGGGTTTAATTATCCCCATTCTTCCCCAGGTATTCCAGCTGGTGGAGACATTTGCCCACTGCCAAGGAGGAGGAGAATGGACACATCTCCACCCAATTTCACTTAGTGCCCCGATTCCCTTCCAAATCCTTACCTTGCCCTCCAAGCACCAAAGGGGAATGAGGTGACCAGTTCTGAGTCATCATGCTGGGAAATGACAGCCAGAGCTCACCTGGCAGAGCAGCCCCTGGCTCTTCCCACATCCAGGAAGACTTAGGTGTGAAACTAAGCCCTCAGGGGGCCTCTGGCCACCTGCTGCTCTGCCTCCTGCCAACACTCTCTTGTTGACAGCTCTTCCCTCTCCCCACACCCTTAGGTTCCAGACCCCCTGAGTAAACTGTCTACACCCTTCCCCATCAAAAAGAGCGCCACCATTGGGGAGCTGCACAGAGAACCTGAAGACAGTTTCTGTGTTGCTTAGCCTAAGGATATTTGCATGAATGACATTTATTTTCTTTTTATCAATGTATAACAGACACATAAAGTCGTAATTTCGATTGTAAAACCTGATGACTTGATAGCTGTATATATTGTGAGAAGATCCCCCTTCAAGTTGACTAGCACATGCATCACCTAAAATGTATGTTGTTTTTTTTTCATGAGAACATCTAAGACCTTCTCCCTTTGCCAATTTCAATCACATAACACAATGTTATCAAGTGTCATCACCTCGCTGCACACAGACGCTCAGACCTTCTTTATCCTGTAATGCAGAGTTGGTTCCCTTTCACACCCTCTCCCTAGCCCCTCCACCTTCCAGCCCCTGCTGCGTTTTGACTCTGTTTTTATAACTTAATGATTCTGTTTTGTCAGACTTCACATGTGATGTCATGCAGTATTTATCTTTTCTGTCTGTCTTGATTCAATAGCATGATGCCCTCCAAGCTGAAATAGGCTGTTATAGAGGGCAGGATTTCCTTCCTTTACAGCTAAATAATGGAATAATATATATTATTAGTAAAATATGTACATTTCCATTTTCTCCACTGCATTTGACTGCACAAACACTTACTGTGTTAGTCCTAGGATTGGAAGGATGAATAGAAGTTCTCACCTTCAGCCATCACATGATCTAGTACTGAACCCAGGGCAAGTCAGGGATTATGAGGCAGCCTCAGGACAGTGCAGGGACTTCAGGAGAGCTAAGGAAGGCTCCAAAGAAAAGGACAAATTCCAGACAAATTCCAAAGGGGACAAATCAAACACCCCAGACTAAGGTCAACAGGACAGTCCAAACTGAGGACAATAAAGAGGAAAGAGAAGGTCTGGGACACAGAGACTTAGCTCTGGGCACAGAGACATTGAGGCAGTGATGAGACCACCCAGAACTAACCACTCACAGAGACCCTGGTGGAGCTTTGGAATCATCAGGGAAAGAAGGTGCATATTCCCTGAGACAGGCCTCCACTGTGGCTTCCTTGCCCCTCCCTGGCCTGGTTTCATGGGCTGGGAGTCCCACTTTATTTCTGTTCCTTTTCTCCTCAATAAAAGATTTCTTTCCCTAAACAAACCTGCCCCCTCTCGCTGCTTGCCTGAGGGTCTGAGAAGTTCCTGCTGAGGCTTTGGGAGAGACCATTCCCTGGCGGTCTAGGGGCCCGGACTCAGCGCTGCCCCTGCAGCTGGGATCTGTTCTGGCTGGGAGACTAGGCCCGAAAACCTACAGTTTCAGTATCAGTATCCTCAAAATAAGCCAGAGAAAATGGGTTGGGGTGGCCCGCAGCACACTAGGGGAGGCTGGTGTGGCCCTCAGTAAGGTTTCTTGAGGAGAAAACACCTTCTCATATTAAGGAGCTCTGGGTCTTTCTGGGCAAGATACAGCGACTTCTGAAAAATGGCGGAGACCTAAGGTTTCCCCAGCCCCCTTGTTCTCGGGATGTAGTCTTGGTCCCAGAGTTCCTGCTGGTCAAGCTACAATGTGGAGTCAGGCAGGAGGCCCCTCACCAGGACAAAAGCCTTGGGATGAGGAACATACGGGAAATCCAGCATCTGCTGAACACAGCAGCGGACATTATGGCCAGGTGAGCGCAACCAGCTCGACCACCTGGACGGGAAGTCAAGTGTCACAGGGTCTAGAGAGAGGGAGGTTTGATCAGCAGCTCAAATGGAGCCCTAGTCACTGCTCCTCCTAGTCGTGCCAGACATTTCTGCATCCACAATCCACCTCCCCCACCCCACATTCCTCCACGGACCTGCCCACCTTCCCCGAATGTCATCCCCAATAAATGTGAGGTGGTTTGGGGGGCATGGGCTGCACCTCCAGAGGTGTGAGTCCCTCTTGTGCCTCTCTCTCTCTCCTTGGACTCTGAGTTGTCTTTCCTCCCTCCCGCGCCTCTCCCAGCCTGCTGCCCTGCAAGGTGACAGACCAAAGGGCCCCCTCCAGCTCCCCTCCACCCACCCCATATCTCCAGCTGCCCTGTGGAAGGAGGACTTCGTCTGGGTCCCGCCCTGGTCCTCACCCTGCTGTAGAATTCTTTCGCCCTAAACGCTGCCCTTACAGAAAGCAAAACCCCAACAATTCAGAAGCCGGCTGTGTCTGTCCTCCCAGAGCAGAGGCTCAAGGAGCAGGGCACCACAAAGCCGAAGTCAATTTTTCTAGAAAACATTCAGGGCCATCCTTGGTGGCACAAGGAGTTACTACACAACCTGTGAGGCTATCTGCAGCCATGCCAGTGCCAGTCTGATCCCCAGCCAGGGAATTTCCTGTCCCAGCAGACCTCTCCTGACTAGCCCGCTGCTCCCCTCAGCAGTGTATTTTGGTCAGTCTCCCTGTTCTGTTCCCCACACTGTCTCTGGTGAATCCTCTCAGCCCCCACACCTCTGACCTGTACCCCAATTTATTTATTTATGATAAATAAATAAATCTTAAAAAAAAAAAATGTGAGGGCCAAAGCAGGCAATGCTCCACCAGCCTGAGCTGTCCGTGAGGGGTAAGTGGTTTCGGCGGGGTCCCTGGGACTCCTCCCAGCACATGTTTTGGGGCGCCTGGCTGAACCAGGGCTTCTTCACCCTGCATAGGCCCAGTCAGTCCCTCACCAGAAGAGCTTTCGTCTCCACACCACTTGAGGCCATCAGCAATGTGGCCCATGAGCATTTTATTCAGGGTATGCAGCTTCCCCTGGTAACTCATTGCCAGTCATGTGTTTTGCTCCAAAAAAACACCTAAGAAAGAATAAAACACACCGCTCATTGAGAAACATGTAGTAAATTTTTAAAATATACATTATTAATTATTTTATTTTATTTATATACTTTTTACATCATTGTTCTTTTTTGTACAATGTCTGCTTTCTCCTCTCAGGTGGAGTCCCCGGAAAATCCCACCACCAAGTCACCCGTGCACCCTCACATAGTCCCTTGTGCTCCTCCCTCCCTGTTAAAAATACATGTTTTTAAAATGAAAGAAAAGCACTGAAGTGTTCAGAGAGTAAATCCTACACGGCACACACGTGTGTGTTCTGGGTCACCATGTGAAATGATTTCATTATTCTGCTCATACTCAGAAAATCTTGTAACAAATCTGAGAGGGGAACCATCTGGAGGAGGCATCAGGAGATTCAGAGTTCCTGAAGGATCTGCAAGCCCTTTTGTCTACAGGCTATTTCTGGGAGATGAGCTCTTTGATGCTTAGAGGTCCAGCCTCTCTGTTTCTTTCCCAGTCTGCCCTCTTCACACACACAAGAAATGAACAAATGCAGCGAGTTTTCGTCAAGGCCCCTTGCAAACCCACGGAAAGTCCAGTTTCAGAGCAGTCGTCTACTCCAGGGACCTGTGGGTTCTGAAGAGCAGGCAGGGGAGGGTGGGCTGGGAAGCCCAGGCCGGGAGTCCCACGGCCTTAGGAAGCGTCACCACTCACCGTCTGCCTGGCCTTGGACACCAGAGCATCGCTAACCTCACCTTCCCCAAATGGAAATGGGCAACAATGATCAGAACCCCTGGGAGGCCGGGGTTCACAGGGACAATGCAAAGAAATCACAGCCTGGACAGTCACCAAACCCCTCCTCCCCCACCCGCCCCACAAGCTGTCTTGTGCCTGGGGCACTCTGCAGTAGCTCTAGCTTCTAAACTGGATGGGGCTGAAGATTTGGGGCTCGCTGAATTGCCCCTTAAAATGCTAAACTTGTCATATGGGTTGATGTAGTGATGATCCTCCTGATGTAATAGACATGACATGTGCTGACACTGTAGAGGCCTGAGCTATGGAAAGTTGAGAGAGCACCTTTAGGGATCAATGAAAATGGAACCACTTTTCATGAAGACATTGATAAACAGACATGCAAAAATCCAGGGTAGATAAAGCCCCAGATGTTCAGAGAGGCACCTGCTCAGTCAAAATTAACAGTGGGTCCTGATAACAGGCCTCAGAAAAATGGCATAACTATAGGCACTAAGCCTGAGGCAAGGTGAGATGCTGTGGACTCCACACACAGGGGCCTAAGTCTCCCCCAGGCACTGCTCAGAGACACAGAGACTCTTGCTCTGAGCGTGGCCTTCATCTCCCCATAGGAGGAGGGATGCCAGGGGCTCTCTGGACCGGGGACCATCCATTGTGCATCACCTGTCTCCCATCTTTGCCAAGAGGTTAGTTACTTCCCCCTTTAGCTGCCCATTCAGTGGTACCCTCATCTCATTATAATGCACATTCCCCAGCAGATTCATGCTCCGTTATGTGCCTTTGACTTGAGAAGAGGAAACTTGGCTTCTCGTCTGGAAGTGAGCGCTCCAGAGACCCAAACCTGATGAACATGACTTTAGGGGAGATGTGCTCTTTCCCAGTATGGTCAGTGTATGACAGCCTAGAGCTCTCTGGTGCCAGATTGAGCCATTCACATTTCAACTGGCCATTTTTGAGGCCCTCACTAGTCACCTAAACTCACCTCAGTTTTCTCTGGGGTGAAAAGGGAATGTTGGCCTCTG